GGTGGGTGGCGAATTGGCTGGAGGGTCGCACCCAGAGAGTTGTGGTAGATGGGTCGGTTTTGACCTGGAAGGGTGTGGGCAGTGGGGTCTCGCAGGGCTTGGTCCTTGGCCCGATACTCTTTAATGTCTTCATCAGTGACTTGGACGAGGGAGTGAAATGTACTCTGTCCAAGTTTGCAGATGACACAAAGCTATGGGGAGATGTGGACACGCCGGAGGGCAGGGAACAGCTGCAAGCAGATCTGGACAGGTTGGACAAGTGGGCAGAAAACAACAGAATGCAGTTCAACAAGGAGAAATGCAAAGTACTGCACCTAGGGAGGAAAAATTTCCGGCACACCTACAGCCTAGGGAATGACCTGCTGGGTGGCACGGAAGTGGAAAGGGATCTTGGAGTCCTAGTGGACTCTAAGATGAACATGAGTCGGCAGTGTGACGAAGCCATCAAAAAAGCCAATGGCACTTTATCGTGCATCAGCAGATATATGACGAATAGGTCCAAGGAGGTGATACTTCTCCTCTATCGGGCGCTGGTCAGACCGCAGTTGGAGTACTGCATGCAATTCTGGGCGCCGCACTTCAAGAGGGATGCAGATAACCTGGAGAGGGTCCAGAGAAGGGCCACTCGTATGGTTAAGGGCCTACAGACCAAGCCTTACGAGGAGAGACTAGAGAAACTGGATCTATTCAGCCTCTGCAAGAGAAGGTTGAGAGGCGACCTTGTGGCTGCCTATAAGTTCATCACGGGGGCACAGAAGGGAATTGGTGAGTATTTATTCACCAAGGCGCCCCCGAGGGTTACAAGAAATAATGGCCACAAGCTAGCAGACAGCAGATTTAGATTGGACATTAGGAAGAACTTCTTCACAGTTCGAGTGGCCAGGGTCTGGAACGGGCTCCCAAGGGAGGTGGTGCTCTCCCCTACCCTGGGGGTCTTCAAGAGGAGGTTAGATGAGTATCTAGCTGGGGTCATCTAGACCCAGCTCTCTTTCCTGCTTATGCAGGGGGTCGGACTCGATGATCTATTGAGGTCCCTTCCGACCCTAACATCTATGAATCTATGAATCATGTGTGAGTGGTGGAGGTCTTAACCCCATCTGTGGCAAACACTTCCAAACAAATTTAGGACACACAGAGGGGCCTTTCATCTGTCCCCCTTTTCAGTGTCTGAGCAATATCTCAGCTCTAAAGAGCTGGATCCTTTCAGCCAGTGCATTGTCCATAAGCAATTACATAGGACACACAGTATATAGCAGTGCTGCCAGCTCATTGTAGTTTCTCAATATTTGATGCTTTTCCTAGAGTCATGACTTCAGGTTTCATAAAGGAAGAAGAGTAAATGTCTAGCCCTCATGATTGCAGAGAAAGATGTGAAACCAACAGGCCCCTACATTTTTAAAAATAAGCTTATGATCTTAGGAAATCTGACATATGGCTTTTGCAATGCAAAGCGCTTCACTGTTGAAATAAAAAAAATGATACCCTAAAGATGGAATAAGGACAAGAGCAAACAAACTCAGAGAGAGCTTATGGAAGCGCTGGGAATGTCATATTCTATAACTTGGATGCAGATGCAGAAAAGACACACCTGAGGGGACAAAAGAGATCTAGCTTTCTGTAAAGGTCCTGATTGCTGGCAGCCTCTGAATGCAAATTAGCCATGCTAGAGCACTACTGTCATCAGAAATGTTTGCCTTGAAGTGGGAAAGCAACCAAGTCTGAGCATTGAACTTTCCTCCTTCACTCTACATTTTGTTCCACCCCTTTTTCTCATCACCCTCCAAACAGTCCCTATTTCCTCTCTTTCTTCTTGGAAGACAAACTGTCGGAGGAGGAGGAGGAGGAGTAGTACCCCCTTCTCAATTTAACTCTTTGACCATGGTACTCTTTTCCTCCCTGACCCCAGTCTTTATAGCAGTGATATGTGTTTTGATTGGGATAATTCTGAAAAGCACAAGGAAAAGCAGCAAGAAAGAAAAGAGTGATACTAAAAACAAACCAGAATCTCGCCCATGGGTGGATGAAGACTTAAGAGACAGCACTGACCTTCATGTAGAGGAAGACGGTAAGGAAAATAGAAATCAGCATAGCACTTTTCCTGTCTGAATTTTCTGTTGATTTGAATAAGGGAGACATGATCCTCTGGACTACTGAGTGTGCATACAACTCTGCAGCTACAGTGCACTTTCCTTAGCAGGGTAGAGGTCATACACTTCTGCTTCTGGCAGAGCAAGTGACAGTAGTAAGAACTAGTCAACCCAATTAGCTTAAAAAAAGTAACTGGGGGGTCTAATTGTTTGATCCTGTAGCAAAACCTGTGAGAGGGGGCTAGAGAGGAGAAAATGAATACGAATTCCCACTGTGGAGCTCTCCCATTCCTTATACTGGAAAGTGGGGTTTGACCTCCTGTTGAACAGGACTTCTTGATACTTCTCTGCTTACTACTTCTCTGCTTACTCAAAGGGGTGGTGTGTCTCTACTGTGGAAGCAGGATGTAGGGCTGTAACAAGTTCTCAGTGTATATTTCTATTCTGAGCTCTGAAGAACGCACATTTCCTTAGTACCATCAATACCCCTTTTCCCCTCTTGAGCCCCTGATGGGTAGGAAACCCAACATGAGATATGGAGAAAGGAGGGGTTCTGCAAAAGCACATGGGTTTCCATCACCATAGGGATCTTGGAGACATGATTTTATCTGATTTTGTATGCTCTGAAATTATACATTGCTCATTATACTTTTATCCTGCTCATTGCTATCATTGGCACAGTGTGTTTGTCTGACCTGCCAGCTCATTTCCATTAACTGTTTATGAATATGTAAAGTATATGTATTTTTCCTTCAATTACAATAACTGGCTCAGACATGCAGTCCTCAGCCATGCATATGCTGATAACCATGGGGCCTTTAACTGTTTCAGTATTATGGGATTGAGCTCTATTTGGAGACATTTTTAGGGTCAAATTTTCAACAAATAAATAAGAACCTAACTAGCAGGGTCTCTGTCCTTGCATGAAGTCTCAAGGCTGCATGAGTAGATCTGATACAGAATTGGGATATAAGTGTGTATGTGCACAAAAGGCACAGTCCTTTCTGCTCTTAGAATATGCAGTTTCCCCTGTTTCTTTGTAAAGCAAAGCTGCAGAATTTTGTAATCCCTTGAGATAAAGAAGGGCTTTTGTTTTTCAATTCTCATTTAATGTAACCACCTTTCTTGACCAAATCATTTTAAAGTTTGATGCATAGGTTTGCACCCCAAAATGATACCTACCCCAAAGCCAGGTTTTCTAGCTCATATAAAACTTCAACCTGCTTTCTGCCTCTGCACATGCTACTAATCAACATTTAATTTTTACTTCACTTTGGGCCAGGTTCTACTTCTACTTATTCCCCAACCAGCTGGGGGCTCGTGGCTAGCTGCCGCTCTCCTGCAGCTTTTTCCAAGCTCTCTGCCCCCTGATTGGGGAGCCAGGGCTGGGAACTTCCTGCTGCCAAAATAGAGGGACATGGTCCCTGCCTGGGTGCTGCCACCAGAGCCTGACCGAGGCAGCCGGCAACGGGGGCAGGGAGCAGTCTCCCAGTCTGCTCGAGGAGACAGCTATCTCCTGACCTGATGCTTCCTGCCAACCCCTGGGCTGGCTACTGCAGGGGGCCAGTGTAGGGCTGGAGCAGGCAGGAGCAGACTGCGGCCCATAGAACCAAATCTGCTCCCACATCTCTGCATGTGTATGTGCCTGTCCAGGGTGGGTTTACTCTGCCTACAAAGTTGATCCTTTCCAGTAATTTTTGCACTCCTCCTTTATCTGTAGCGGATGGCATGTTTGTAATGGCTTTAACCCTTGCAGGATCTATGTGCACCCCTTTCTCAGAAAGTTTTTCTCCTAGTTATGTTATTTCTTTGACCCTGAATTTGCATTTTTGTTTGTTCAGTTTCAAACCTGCTCTGCGAGTTCTTTCTAATGCTTTTCTTAGCTTCAAACTATGCTCTATCACAGTATTTCCCCAAACTAATACATCATCAGTATAACCATAGTTCAATCAAGACCTTGAAAAATGTGTTGCATCTTTCTGTGATACAGTTCAGATGCAGAACACAGTCCAAAGAGAAGCCTACAAAAGCAATACCTTCTTAAGGGTGTATTGATGGTATACAATCTAGTGCTTTCCTTTTCTAGGGGAACTTGCCAAAACCCAGAAGAGGTATCCAAAGTGGACAAATATTTATCTTCTGCCACATTGACAAAAACCTCTTCCCTGGTTGAAATGGGAAAATGTTCCCTTTTGATGTACATATTCATTTGCTTAGGATCGAGACACAATCTCAAGGATCCATCTTTTTTCTATTATGACCAGTGAATAAACCTAAGCAGTTGGATGCTCGACTTTTTCCTATTATGTCCATGTTAACTAATCTATTGAATTCCTTTTTCCGTTTCTCCCTTAGTACAAGGGGAACATTTCTTGGAGCGTGTATAGTAGGAGTATTTGGTTCTCTTAATTCTATCTTGTTCTCAGTTGGCAGTTTCCAGATGTCTGGAAACACATTATAAAGCTGTTCTTCTAAGTTCTTGCTTTCTAATCCCTCAATGGCATCCATTCTTTTAATCAAGCCTAGAGTTTTACACATTTGCAGCCCAATAATTGGCATTAGCTTTCCTGGGACAGTTACAAACTGAATTTTTACTATATTACCCTTGTGTCTAACATGCAGTGCACAAATACCCTTAGTTGCACTCATGTTCCCATTATATGCTCTAAGTTTCACTTTCTTATTCTCATAGTACAAAGGTTTAGTTTTCATTTTTTGAATAATGTATTCTGGTATTACATTGACCTGTGTTCCTATATCTAATTTAACAGTTACCATTAGCCCATTGGTGTCCAGGGTGATTGTCCAGGTCTCAGAAGAATGAACTTCTTGCATTGTGCTAATGAGGAATTCTTCCTTTTCCTCATTGCATAGAGCATGCATCTGCTGTTTCTTGTGTGTTGCATCCTGTTTCTTTCTGCAAACTCTTGCAAAGTGATTGAATCCTTTGCATTTGTTGTAGCACTTACCAAATGCAGGGCATTGCATGGGTTTATAGTAACTCATGTGCTGTGCTTAAATTTCTTCCTTTTTTTTGCTGAATTGCTAGATGGGTTTAATTCTTCTGGAATTGTGAGATGCTCCATTTTTTATTTTTTTTGTCTTTCTTTGAATCCCACTTATCGTACCATGTGTTGTTCTCAAAAGACCAAAGAGTCAAGCTTATAGAATGAGAAAGCTTGTTTATACAGAGAGCAGTACCTTGCATACAGTTCTTCTGTCCCCTTCTACAGTCCCTGGGCCAATGTAACACATAGACAGACAAAATTCTTTTGGGTAAACCTGATATCTTTTATTAGATCAACTCAAATAGTTGGAAAAATTCTTCTTAGCAAGCTTTCGGGCATAAACACCTTTCATCAGACAAAGGAAGCATCTACAGATGGTCTGTGCTCTTCCTGAATGAAGTGGTAAAGCAGCTAGAGGCCAGTACATATGCAAGAAAGACAGTCAGTTAAAATGTAAATTGAGGTGGTCACATAGGCTGCGGAAGGCCAGAGTTAATGGGGCTCAGCCTCCCCTCACAAATGCGGGGCAGCAGGTAGGGCTGCAGGACAGCCTGGCCATGGGCTCTGGGTGGATGCAGCAGAATGGGAAGGGACATGCATGCAGCCAGGATCGCAGCCCAGCATATGGTCACTCCCCAGCATGGCAGGCAAGTATCAGTCTACTCCGTGAAGGGGAAGGGGTTTGGTGGGGAGGGGCAGATCAAGGCCCCCCACATTGAGGGAGTGGGCAGAGGCATGGGCAGGGGCTGGAGTGAATGGGGCCCTGGTTGGGCCTGGTTGTGGGATGATCAAAGCCCAGGCAGCTCACCCAGGGGTACAGAGGGGCTCTCACTGCTGTGTACACCCCAGCAGAGGCCCGGGGGGCACATGCCCCTCCAATCTGTGCGCAGGGTGGAGACGGGCGGCCGCTGCATGCTGGGCTTTGCACCCCAGTGCCGCTGTCTCCGGAGCCATGCAACGCCATGTGCCTTCTGCTGCTAGGCTGTGCCACACCGCCTGCCTGCCCAGTGGTGGGATACACGTAGTGTCCCTCAGCTCTCAAGGCAGCAGCAACATGGTGCAGAGTCCAGTGCATAGCAGCCACCCACCTCCATCCCATGCACAGATCTGGGGGACACGTGGTCCCTAGCCTTCCGCCGGGGTGCGCACAGTGGTGGGAGCTCCCCTGCACCCCTGGACAAACCGCCCAGGCTCCAATCATCCCATCTTGACAACCTGGTCTGGCTGGGACCCCACTCACACCAGCCCCTGCCCTTGCCTCTGCCCCACTCCCTCCCTCACCATGGGGGCCTTGATATGTTCCCAAATAATTTTTTCTCCCTCTGCCTATGGGTGTTCAGTAGGTGAGAGACAGGTGGCGAGGGGAAGGGGGAATGAATGTAGCTGTAGTCAAAGGATGAGACAGGAGGGTGGATGGGAAGGGAATGAGAATAGCTGGTAAAAAGTGGAGGGTTTACCTGGGGAGTTAGATGTTAGGCATGCTATAATGTGTCATAAATCCAATAAATAATTTTTTCTCCCTCTGCCTATGGGTGTTCAGTAGGTGAGAGACAGGTGGCGAGGGGAAGGGGGAATGAATGTAGCTGTAGTCAAAGGATGAGACAGGAGGGTGGATGGGAAGGGAATGAGAATAGCTGGTAAAAAGTGGAGGGTTTACCTGGGGAGTTAGATGTTAGGCATGCTATAATGTGTCATAAATCCAATATCTATATTTAGTCCATGATTTTTTGTATCCAGTAGATTGATGAAGTGAAGTTCATAGGCTCGTCTATGGAAGGTATTTTGTAAACTCCCTTTGAGGGTTAAAACTGAGAGATTGGAGAGAGAGTGGTTTTCTTGTGAGAAATAAGACTTATACATAACACTCTTAGAGGTATCCACACATGTTTCCTCTAAAGTAATTTACTGTAGAGTAAACCTACACAGCAGGATTTGCACAAGTAGGCATGCCCAGTGTTAAGTACCAGACA